TTGATTGTGTGTGCTGTTGTTTGGAAAATGTGTCAATCTACTCAGAAAAGGACTACGCGTAATGCTGGACGGATAACTAGCACTGTGCGGAATATTTCAACTGATAGAGCACCAGATCAGGAAGCCGGAAGTTACAATGAGGAAGGCGGATTGCCAGGACGGGGATTAAACATTCAGGTCAAACGCACATTCAAAGGAGAAGGAACAGAAGTGTGGAGTGAATTTGTGAGATATTTTGAGAATATTGCTGCGTTAAATAATTGGTCCATTGACATGAGACGAAGAGTTCTTATTACTACATTCCGTGGACAAGCGGAAGCATTCGCATATGGATTACCAGATAATATTATAGGGAACTATAACCAACTTAAACTACAAATGGACAACAGATTTGGACATACTGCGATGAAGGAGAGCTATATCGTTGAGGCAAAAATGCGAAAAAAACTCCAGACAGAATCGTTCCGAGATTTTGGCCAAGCGATAGCTGATTTGTATAGAAGAGCTCACCCTGGAAATCGAGACTATGTGGAAGAAGCTAGTCTTAAAACTTTTATGGACAACTGTAATCATGATGATGATTTCCGCTTAGCTGTGAAGCGCACTAGACCAAAAAGCCTACAAGAAGCAGTGACTGCTGCGATGCAGGAGGAATGCATTCGTATGACAGAGAATCGGAATTTAAGAAACAGGGAAAACAACCCTGTAAGACCCATTTATAGAGTTAGCGAGTTCTCCAATCAGGGAAAAGTCCCAGTGACCGGGAAAACGTACCGCGCTAATCCAGATATGGAGGATAAAAGTAAAACTTTGAAGAAATGTTACGGCTGTAATTCTTCTATGCATTTGTATAAAGACTGTCCAAAGCGAAAAAATGCTGTTAGCCAAACCCCCCAGAAATCTTTAAATTTAAGAGTGCCGAGGCAGTAGGCCATGTGTCGGCACAGCAGTTAGTTAAGCGGCCTAGTACAGGAGAGGAACAACGTCAGGATGATAGCAGTGTAGAAATGCCTGCAGTATCAACTCAAACAGATGTTGAAAATTTGCACTTGAATTACGAGTCTAACGAGAAAAATCAAGGAGTTATAAAAATTAAAGGAAAACCAGGAATGAGATTAGATGGCTTAGTGGAAGGCACATCGTTAGAGTGGAAATTTGACACTGGTGCAATGAACACGTTCATAACAGAAGAGGTTTATTGGAACATTCTTCCAGAACACAGACCTGTGCTGGAGCGCGCTAAAAAGCAATTTAATACAGCCGACGGAAGAAGATTGAAAGTTACGGGAACTGCAAAAATGCTACTTTCTTTTCAAGGATTTCAAGTGATATTTCGAGTGTTTGTGGCAGACGTAAAATGTAATTTACTGGGCCAAGATTTTATCACCAAATTCCAGTGTCAATGGAACTATGTATCTAATGTGTGCAACCTTAGTTCAGATGCTGAAGTCTTGCGGGGATATATTATTAGCATGGAGGACAGTGTTGTTCCAGCTCATCATGAGAGTATTATAAAGGCTACATTCGATAGTAGTGTAGATGCTTGTGATGGGGTGCTGTTACCTCTAAAATCATTTGTACATAATCATGGATTAGCTGTGGCAAGAGAGTTAGTGAAATCTACGCGTGGTGAAAATAATATTTTTGTGCGCGTGTTTAATCCGAATGACCATGACGTTTATGTGCAGAAGTGTACCGACATAGCTGTGTTTGATCCTGTAGAAACTGTGTCAACATTGAAGACCCCGGAAGTGTGTAGTGTAATGTCAGGAGGCGACAAATTGCCAGAGCATCTAGAACAAGTTTTTAAAGAAGCGAGTGAAAATCTAACTGAAGAGCAAGCGGCAAAGTTTAAGAACTTTCTCTTAGCTCGTGTGGACGCGTTTGCAGACCCAAACAAACCAGTGGAGCGTGCAACGATTGGGGAACATCGCATTAAGTTAAAGGAGGAAATTCCCCTTAAGGAACCAGTGCGCAGGGTACCTATTTTCAAGAGGGAAATAATGGATGAAGAAATCAAGAAATTAGAAGAACAGGGATTAATAGAGAAGTCCAATAGTCCCTGGTCCGCTCCTATTGTATTAGTCCAGAAAAAGGACAAAAGCTGGAGGCTTTGTGTCGATTATCGGAAATTGAATGCGAATACCATCAAAGACGCTTATCCGATACCTCGTGTGGCAGATGATCTCGATTCCCTCGCTGGATCTACATGGTTTTCGTCATTAGATCTCAATATGGCTTATCATCAGATTCCTATGAGTGAGGAGGATAAGGAGAAAACAGCGTTTGCTACACCTCGTGGTGGCCTTTACCATTATACGGTTATGCCTTTCGGATTATGCAACGCCCCAGCAACGTTTCAAAGAGTTATAGAACAGGCGTTGAATGGACTACAGTGGAATATAACAGTCTTATATTTGGATGACATTATTGTGTACAGTCGTACTTTTGACGAACATTTAGATAATCTTAGTTTAGTATTAGATAGACTGCAGAGTGTCAACCTAAAACTAAAAGCGAAGAAGTGCAATTTCTTTAGGCGGGAAGTGAGCTTTCTTGGACATATCGTTTCAAAGGAGGGTATTAAAACAGATCCTTCAAAAATAGAAGCTGTGAAAAACTGGAAAACCCCGAGCAATGTAACGGAACTTAGAAGTTTCTTAGGACTAGCAGCGTATTACCGGAGATTCATCCAAGACTTTGCTAAAACCGCAAAATGTCTGCATATTCTTACTGGGAAAAATCAAGAATGGAATTGGACACAAGAATGTGATACAGCGTTCGAATTTTTGAAACAGAAATTGATATCTGCACCTATTCTTGGATATCCCGATGTGAATGCTGGTGACTTTATACTAGACACTGATGCTAGCAACGAGGCTATAGGCGCTGTGTTATCGCAGATTCAGAATGGAAGAGAAATTGTGATTTCCTATGGAAGCCGTGTGCTAAATAATTCTGAAAGAAATTATTGTGTTACACGTAAGGAAATGCTAGCTGTTGTGTACTTTGTTCAACACTTTAAGCACTATTTACTTGGTCGAGAGTTTTTGCTTAGAACAGACCATGGGTCCTTGGTGTGGCTTCATAGATTCCGAGAACCGGATGGACAAATTGCGCGGTGGCTTCAGCGACTTGGACCGTACATATTTAAGATTGAACATAGGGCTGGGAAACGACATGGAAATGCAGATGCATTATCTCGTGTTTCTTGTGAATCGAAATGTAAACAATGTAAACGTGAGAAAAGTGAAGGAAGTGAAATTCAGAAATATTCACATGTTTCCGAACTAAGGAATAATTCAAAAGGAAGTGTCAATCACGTGTTTGATTTAAGTGTATTATTTAAGGATAACACGAACTCTGAAAAATCAAGTGATTGTGCCGTTATTTCCCCTGTGAAGAAGAAGCGAACAAATAGACCAATGCGAGCAAAGATTCGGAAACAGCCGGAGGAGTCATTAAATCGAGGAAATATTCGAGAGAAACAACAGAATGACCCTGGAACGCGCGTTATTCTCCACTGGATGGAAAAGAATGAAAAACCGCCATTATCAACTGTGTCATGTGAAAACTTCGAGTGCAAATATTGGTATTCAAGATGGGATTTATTGTGCATTGATCAAGGTGTTCTGTGTATTCGCTGGATTTTAAATAATAGTGAGGAACTAAAGATATGTCTACCACGGAAACTGCGTCAAGTTGTGTTATGGCACTTCCATGACTCTAATGTTGGAGGTCATATGGGTGTCAAAAAGACTTTAGAAAAAGTCAGGAATTCCGACTATTATTGGCCTAGGATGCGACAATTCGTTCATGACTACGTATTATCGTGTGATGTGTGTGAAGAGAGGAAAAATCCGCCTCGGAAAAAGAGATCGCGTATGAAAACCTTCCTGAGTGGTGAAACATTTCAAAGAATAGCATTGGACTTAGCCGGACCATTCCCCAAGTCAGATAATGGATATTCTTACATTCTGGTAGTGATGGATTATTTTACAAAATTTGCTGAGATATTTCCACTCATGAACATGGAGGCTGAAACGGTAGCCGAGGTCCTGTTTAAAGGATGGATTAAGCGATACGGATGTCCTGGAGCTATTCACTCAGACCAAGGAAAACAATTTGAAAGTAAACTTTTTCAGGAAATGTGCCGATTATTTCAAATTGACAAAACGCGTACTTCACCATATCATCCCCAGTCAGACGGAATGGTAGAGAGGATGAACAGAACGATAAAAGACATGCTGTCTAAGTACATTAATGCAAATCAAACTGATTGGGACCGTTTTGTGGATGGCATCGTTCTCGCGTACAACACTACTCCGCATGAAACTACACGGATTTCGCCATATAGACTAGTTTTTGGTAAAGAAGCCAAATTACCGATAAATGTTCTGACTGAAAATGAAGCGATGAAAATGCCCGAAAAAGATGCGAACAGAGCAGTTTATGTGCGCGACTTAGAGGAAAAACTTTCCACAATTCATGATTACGCAAGGGAAGTTACGAAAGAAGCATCTCAGAGACAGAAAAGTTATTTTGATCGTAACGTGCGTGAAGCTTTATTATGAAGTTGGAGATTTAGTACGAAGAAGTCAACCAAAAGTCGATAAAGGACAAAAGTTAAAACTGTCGAGAAAATGGACTGGGCCATGGATAATAATTAGAAGATTAAGTAATGTGCTTTATGAAATTAAGCATTCAAAACAGTCGAAACCCGTCATAGTGCACGCCGACAACATCAAACCCTACCGCAGAGAGCGACAGCAGTCCCGCTATACAACCAGCGAGACAGCGGAATACACGGGTGGCGAGACACCAGACGGTCAACAACGGCACGCGTCTGGACCAGGCCGGCGGCGTTTGAAGTTACCGCTAGCTCCGCCCCCGAGAACAGACAATTCGGGAGCTGACCAATCAGAACCAAGAATGAAGATGACCCGAGGAGGACGGACTATAAGAACCCCCATCCGTTTCAGAAAATAAACATTCGACAAATGTTGTGCGAGACTTGTGGACAGACATTCAGCACCAGCAGTAATCTTCATCAGCATACCAGAGAGAAACATAGTGATCATGTAAATAGTTTACAGTGTAGTTATTGCCAGAGACCCTTCTTGCGAAGATTTAATTTGAAAAGACATTTGAATTCAGTTCACAAACTAAATAGTGAACAATTAGAAGCAGCCATGCCCTCAAAGCGGAGACGAGTCGAGCGTGATGACTTCTTTGAATCCAGGAAACCTGTCTACGTTCATAGCAACTTGTATGAAGACATATCGTCCGATGAGAACGATGAGACTTACGGAGACGCGCAAGAGACTGATGTGACCAATGTGGATTATCTCGATGATATTTCTTTTGATTCAGAATTGCCGTAGATTGACGAATCTCTGGTAGACGACATTCTCCATAATTGTGCAGACTTTACTAATGACCGGATAGTCGAGATGTTGGAAGACGAGTCGGCGGACACACGGGAAGTCATATCTATAGACGAGGACAGCCAACCAGAAACGAGTGCTTGTGACAGTGATTGTGACAGTGAAAATCAGGACACTAATCTCACGCAGAAATCAACAATTTGTCTGGTGTTACATAAGACTGTGAAACGTAACCTAGATGGTACGGAAGAAATAAGCAGAGACTCTCATATCGTGTATTCAGAAGATCTTAACCCGGATGATATTGACTTTCCAAATGTGGCTAACGAAATACTGACGGAAGTGCCGAAACATTTCGAGGACGGCCATGTTCGGATTGTTAAAGGCGACATTTCCCTATGAAAGGAACTGTAAAGTTTTGATGAACAAACTTGTAAATATATAAAAACTGTCATGATTTTTTTTTTGTACATATTGACTGCTTATTATGCGTAAAGTTATTGATTTGTTTGTATTTACAATTGTGCTTAATTGCGTATAATTAACTGGCTGCACTTTGAATAATTATTAAGTCGTATGTTTAATATTTGAATTTAAATTATGTCTTAATTGTCTGTTTTACATGTATTATAATAGGGGTAATCAAATCATATTTTATATTGTTGTACATTAATTTTGATCGGAGTCAAAAACTTAAGTAGGGGGGAGTTGTAACGGTATCTTATAGTATTATTCTGTTTCATTGTTACGTAATGTTTGTTTACATATCATTGCTCCGCGCGAGCAATGTCGTTACATAACTGACCCCGTTAAAAAAGATTGCTCCTCATGAGCAATGCACATTATGTATATATATAGGTCGAGTAAAAGCTTAGGGGCAGTCAGTCTTATTAATTCTATTACGGGATATACATGTAGGAAAAGTGCAGTCCGGCCAGTGATTTATAATGTGTGAAACTTGGATTTATTTGTGATGTAAATAAACTGTAAATAATTTTATTTTGCGTTTCATTTAACCTAAAGCGTATGCTTTAGAGGTTGGAGAATTTAAGTCACATGGATTATTAATAAAACTGGAGTTTATCACACTTGGATTATTTAAATAGAGCCGTTTACCGCTCGACGGCGTTACAGTATTGCTAGAAAAAGAGGTCATAGACCCATCACTGGGTAAAGTCATGTAAAACCCACTGCTCTCGGCCATGTTCAATCTAAGACTGAGACTCTAGACCTTAAGACCTTTGTATTTATAACAACACTTTTTTAAAAAAAATTCAAAAACATTTATTCAAAAAATTTACACATCTATTTCTTCTTCTTCTTCTTCTGATGATCGGTCCTCAATCACTCGAGTCAACAAATGTCCTTTCTTTTCCACCGAGTCTTTAATCTGGGAAAAGGGGATGCGACAATACAAGTACTCTGTAGGACAATAATGAGGTGGAAACATCAGTCCTTTTTTCTCCATCTTGAAATAATATTTCAGACAATCTCCAATGTCCGAGTACCATGAACTTTCATTCTGAATGGTGTTGATGGGTGTCAGTCGATTCCTTTGAGTACAAGTAACCCATTTGAATTGCTGATAATGTTGGTTGATTTTCACCCTCACTCTAGATCCTGTTAGAGGATAGGGAATTTTCATTCTTTTTTCCAACCACACATTCTCCAGGTAATAGCCTGGATGATTTTCAAAGAAATCCATGATGGCTCCTATTTTAGTTTTCATCCACCCTCCTTGCATGTACATACACTGACTAATGGGACTCTCACAATACCAACGATACTGCATCTTTGGGGAAAAAACAAAAAACACGTCTGACTTGTTCAGTGTCCTTTTTCAGAATGAGAGAGGGTTTTGTTATATACCTCTTGATAAAACCTTTCTTCTATTTTTATTTTATTTTTTAAATTTTTATTTTTTAAATTATATTTTATTTTTTAAAACAAACAACAAAACAACAAAGAATTTTTAAACACAAATTTTTATTCAAGTCAAAAAATACAAAAAATGATTTTATTGTCCTTCATATCGGCATAAGGGGCATTTCTTGTAGGAAGTCTCAAAGAGTTTCTTCACACACTTTTCACAACACGGATATTGCCGGCATTGTCCGCATTTCCATTTTCCTCCAGTCTTTTCCTGGTAGCACATCATACATTCTTTCAAAGGTCTGTTCCTGGTCATTTTCACCCATCGGGGAGGCGGTATGTTCTCAATTCCTTTCTTCCAGATGAAATATTTCAGGCACCAGCTACAACCACAAGTCTCCATGGAAGGGGGGTCATCTACCATCCAGTGTGGCATAGGTTCTCTACATTTACTACATCCCCAGTACCAATCAACAACTTCTCCCGCATCGTTGTAGCCGACGTATTTATGTATCTCTTTCGTCTTCTCATTGCAGTGATAGCATATTGTTTTTTCTACATCAATCCAATAGATAATTCTCCACACAAAAGACATGATGGCTAAATAATGAGTGCAGGGTACTCCCAACTCCGCTTTATATACCTGCTGTGAGCCGTGTGCACTTTTTACCTGGGCTTTTATACCTGTAAGGACCGTGTGCAAAAAAATTAGGGGGCGTGTGCATCAATACGATAGACCTACGTTTTTTATGCTGACTACACAGGTAAATACTTGGCAGCGATTCAAATCCGTGATTGTGACGTCATCATGACAAAGCTAGTGTATATAGAGCGCTCTGTTGTGTGTATATAGAGCGTTTAGTTGTATGTGTGTATATAGGGGAAAAATAACTAACAACACTAGAATTTTTTTGGTTTTTTCTTTTTATTTTTTTATTCATAATAATAACAAGAACAAGAACATCATAATAACAAACATTCAAAACTTCTGTTCAGTTCTTTTTGTATGGGAAAAGGTCTCCTCATGTACAAATAGTCTGTTTCACAAGCACAGTCCATGATATCGTATCCTTTTACGACCACTTCTATCAAATAGTCTTCCATACAATCTCTGGCTTTTTTCATCCATTTCCCATGAATCCAAGTCTTCTCGGGTCCCTGTCTTTGGTGAGCCAAGACGTATGTAACGGTATCTTATAGTATTATTCTGTTTCATTGTTACGCAATGTTTGTTTACATGCCATTGCTCCGCGCGAGCAATGTCGTTACATAACTGACCCTGTTAAAAAAGATTGCTCCTCATGAGCAATGTGCATTATGTATATATATAGGTCGACTAAAAGCTTAAGCGCGGTCAGTCTTATTAATTCTATTACGGGGGATACATGTAAGGAAAAGTGCAGTCCGGCCAGTGTTTTTTTAATGTGTGAAACTTGGATTTATTTGTGATGTAAATAAACTGTAAATAATTTTATTTTGCGTTTCATTTAACCTAAAGCGTATGCTTTAGAAGTTGGAGAATTAAATTCACATGGATTATTAATAAAACTGGAGTTATATCACAATTGGATTATTTAAATAGCGCCGTTTACCGCTCGACGGCGTTACAACTGGTGGCGGCTCGGTGGGATTTTATTCCAGTTGGATATTATTTCGGTGATTTTATTTATTTATTTTTTCTGTGTTTAAATGTGTGTGTGTGACCAAATCAACAGTTGCTAGTGTTTGGAAGGAAAACGGAACATAGTGATACTGCTCGGATTATTATTTTCATGCGTGTGTTTACTAATTATGGATTTCAGAAATACTCCACCCCAAAGACTGGCACATATTTATGACTATGATGACTCTGGGAAATTAGTACTAGTGCGAATTGAGGATTATTATCTACGCAAAGAGTGTCCGAATTGTTTTAATATGTTTCTGAAAAGTAAAAATCAACATATTCTGGATAATGGAAAAACTGTGAGGAGATTTTACAAGTGTCCGGCGTGTGCATGCAGGATTAGGATGAATAATTAGTGATTTCTGTGAATTCTCAAACTGGATCCTTTTGTGATTTTTGTGCTTTTGACGCACTGTGCTCTTTTCTTAAAAGTGTTTCAAGGCGGTGATCGCACTACACATTCGCCAGCGGATATGGATTTAACTTTTACTTCGCCTAGTAGTTTTCCACAAACTACTCCAAGACCAAGAACTTCTGTGAGGCGGAATCTATTACAGGATTTTGAAAGTGAATTACCGTCTCCGATTGTTGCCAATACGGAATCACCACAGAATAGAATTGTGAATGGAGAGAACTGCACGGAAGCGCAGAATGAGAGTACGTGGTATTCTGGGATAACAATATGGATAAGTGGAATACTTGCCCTCGTTTTGACTGTGTTAGGAGTGTTTCGCTACATTCCTCAAAATTTACTGTCACGCTTGACACATGAGGCATTGGGAAATATTGGAATATTATTATTAGGCTTGATTGTGTGTGCTGTTGTTTGGAAAATGTGTCAATCTACTCAGAAAAGGACTACGCGTAATGCTGGACGGATAACTAGCACTGTGCGGAATATTTCAACTGATAGAGCACCAGATCAGGAAGCCGGAAGTTACAATGAGGAAGGCGGATTGCCAGGACGGGGATTAAACATTCAGGTCAAACGCACATTCAAAGGAGAAGGAACAGAAGTGTGGAGTGAATTTGTGAGATATTTTGAGAATATTGCTGCGTTAAATAATTGGTCCATTGACATGAGACGAAGAGTTCTTATTACTACATTCCGTGGACAAGCGGAAGCATTCGCATATGGATTACCAGATAATATTATAGGGAACTATAACCAACTTAAACTACAAATGGACAACAGATTTGGACATACTGCGATGAAGGAGAGCTATATCGTTGAGGCAAAAATGCGAAAAAAACTCCAGACAGAATCGTTCCGAGATTTTGGCCAAGCGATAGCTGATTTGTATAGAAGAGCTCACCCTGGAAATCGAGACTATGTGGAAGAAGCTAGTCTTAAAACTTTTATGGACAACTGTAATCATGATGATGATTTCCGCTTAGCTGTGAAGCGCACTAGACCAAAAAGCCTACAAGAAGCAGTGACTGCTGCGATGCAGGAGGA